GCACTATGAAGGTAAAATTACGTATGGTTTTATTATAAATACCAACTTTCCTGTCATTGACAGTAATATGAAGAACCACTTGATGGAAGTTGACGGTTTGACGGCACTGGGGGAAATCTCTCAACTCTTTCCGCATCCCTCATCATTTTCTGTAAAAAAGCGGCACTACAGCTAAAGCTTGACACACTGACAGACTGAAATAGGTGCGTCCCTCTAAATCACTCTGGGCCCTGGGCTTTTGAGAAGATGAGGGCTTTGAGTTCAAAAAGCCCGACTGGCTCATTGAAGCCACAATTGGAGTCATAAATAGACGTGCTATGAAAGGGTGACGGCTAAAATTGCTGCCTCGGTCCCTCAAAGCAGCGAAAGTTCCTGGCCCGTTGAGCCCTCAGCGCACAGACGGAGACATTTATAGAGAGGCAGGTGAAGGAGTCAGCTTTTTTTTACATTAATGGAGCCTGGAAATTGTCTGTCATTTATAAATTAAAATTCTAGAATCACTTCTTCTATAAATTTTCAACAAAGAGAAAAAAAAAGCAGATACGTAAAACGACAGGACAGAGCAGGAAAAGTGAATAATCCAAAGAGGATCTAAATGAACTTTAAATTTGCAAAGTTGAAGTGCAGGAAAGGAATGTGGCACAGACACCAAATACAGACACCAGCTGCCATAGTTGTACCTACTTTGTAGGGCTGCAGGTATGCAACGCCTTCAAGTGAGGCTTCCAGGTAGCAATGGAAACCGAGTTCTCATCAGCCGCATAACTACGCCAAACACACTGCATGCAGAATACACAAAAAAATAGGTGGAAGGGAAAAATTAAAAGACCCCCCTCCCAGAAAAAAACGATAAACAGACAGAAAAAAGTAAAAAAACAAAAGAAAGACAAGGCCCCAGAGGGAGTCGGGAGAAGAGGAGAAAAGAAAAGAAAGTAAAAAAAAAGAGCTGATTAGTGAAAACTAAAACACGGATGTGTCACACGTCTGGGGTCGGCCGGCGGTCAGGCATGGATACATGCCTGTGGATAGGCAGGAGGCTCTCATAGTGCCGCCACGTGGCGTCCAGGTAGGGCCTGGTGCTGTCGGTGGAGTAATAACGCCACGCAGCCTGGTACAACATGGGGATGCACAGGATGAAGAGGAGGAGGAGGAGATGGGAACATATGATGGACAAAAGGAAAAGGAAGCATGTGGGGAAATATACGTGGAGGTCAATGTGAGGTCAGCACCAGTGAAAGTCAGGATGAAACTAAAGGTGAGTGAAGATCAGGTAGCAGGACGGAGGGGATCGTTTCTGTGCTTTATACCATAGACTGTATATAAAAGACAGACATGCAGTGGGAGGAGTTTTCTCTGTAACTCAGCTCTTAATTTAACATCGCCGTGGTTCCTC